ATTCAAAATTGAGTTTTTTTTAAAATAAGGTAGATAGGGAGAAATGGTTTCCTTTGGCAGTTGGTTCCATAACCTGAGTACACAGATTTAAGATAATTGGCAAAGAACCAGAGGGGAAACGAGCAGAATTTTTTTTTACCCAAAGAGTTGTTTCGGTCTAGAATGCATTATTGGAATGGGTGGTGGAAGCAGATTCGATAGTAGCTTTCGAAAGGAAATCGGTTAGGTACTTAAAAATAAAAAATTTGCAGGGCTATGGGGTAAGAGCGGGGAAGCGGGACTAGTTGGATAGCTCTTTCAAAGAACTGGTAGAGGCACGATGAGCCAAGTGGCCTCCTTCTGTGCTGTAAGATTGTATGATCCTAAGTAATGATGTCAGCTAATCAAATATTAGCCGTAGTTTCACCTGACATTGAATGCCCATTTAAAAAACTATTATTAGGTGCCAGATTTCCCACCACCTTTCTGCATCAGTAATTAATTAGAATCAGAATAGGAGCAGGATGAAAAATGGTGGTAATTCAGGAACTAGATTTATCAAGCAAAGTGGAAGTGTTTTAATTTATTAATGATTCATTAGAGTTGGCTTTTGTATTTATTTGTGGGCAAAATTTAATGGTCTTTAATGGTATGAAGAACAGTAAATTCAGGTTTTTACCACATTCACTTTTTAAAAACATTTTTTCACTGCGATATACCCTTTTTGGAGTGAAAATCAATCAGTAAAAATCAATTACTTTCTATTTTTTGTGCCAAAAGAAGAGCAAACACAGAATGCCACAAAGGGCTTCCACTCCATTTTCTCTGATGTACTCGTCCTTCACAAGTTACTGTTTAATTCTCAGCTGATATTTGAGACTTATTTACAATGCCCTGACAATGAATATCTGTCAGCATGAAACTTACGGTGTGGGGGGAGGGAAGAACGTTTGCACGTGTGGCATTGTTTATTTTATTCTCTTATTACTCTATTTGACAGAAGAAATGAAAAAGCAATTCTCTCAAAAGGTTAGTGTTACCAGAAAACTGTTTTGCAATGCAGAACTGTTTTTGGTAGAAAACTGTATAGAAGCGCTGAGGTTGTCAGATACAAAGAGATATTGAGTCAAAACTGAAGCTTTTTGATGAGTTAGGATTTTCCTGCGGAAACCGCTGATTATGTTGCAAAGCACATTTCTTAGAGGTGAGTTGCCAGAGGTGAAAAGGGAGGGGCAGAGAAAGAGTTTGCCAGTAAAACAAATGTTGTGATTTCCTTGATTTATCTTAAAAGAAGATCCATATTGTGGCAGAAGAATTGGAGAGAGACATGCAAAGTTGTGAAAGTTCAATAAACCTCCGCTATTCAGTATACAAACAGCAATTCTCTCACTATCATACCCTGGTCTCTTCAATACATTTCCAATATTTGTTGGAACGGTGTTACTGGAAAAACATTCATCAACAAGTTTCCATAATGAATTCTGCACTGTTGCATCATTCATCCAGATGCACAGAATTATCAATTTGTTTCTTCATTCACTTTTCCTGGCCTCGGTTATTTTCTGGGTGAGAGAGACTGACCCATTTCATGCTGCATACTCTTACTGAATTGAGGCTTTCTTTGTCTACTCAGCAAACACGGATAGATTTCCTTCTGATTTCAGAAGATAAATTTCCCAAGAGAGGTTTGCATGCCAAAATTGGGGCCCTGCTGTGTCCATAAAACAAGCCTTAACATTCAGCAAAGTAGCCAAATATACTTTTGCTTCACAGTAAAGTCAAAAAACTCGCAAATTGGATGCATATAAAAGCCAATTCTGCCACACCACAAAAACAGCTATATTAATGTAAATATATATTAAATTCTATCAACTAACGGTGTGCAACAAACTTGTTTCCAAAATACGATGGTGTATTTAGAGTGAATGTGAAAAAGGAGGAAACATCTTGGTTAAATGCTGGGCCATCCTGTGTGAGATAGGGTTACAGGACTTTTAATGATTGTGATATATTATTACTATTGGCAGGAATACAACACATGAAAATTAAGACTCTTCCCCATTTGCAATGTCATAGTAACCCTTAGGCTGCTAGTCAGTTCAGGGAATCATAATTTCCCTAACCTGTCAGGTATAAAACATACAGCTTACCCATTGTGATGCTGAAATAAACACTGATAAAGTAATAAACCTCTTCAAGATTAAGGGCAACATTATTGTTACAATATTCACTGTTAACTATGAAAACAAACATTTATAGGATAATTTTAAAATAAAAAACTATTTCTGCTTGCCATCTCTTTTGACTTCTTTATTTGCATTGTTGTTTTTTATTATTTTAGATATATTTTTTGTTGTCTATGGTAAAAATCACATAAGTCATATTAGTCGGGACCAAAATATTTAATATGACTTAGACAACATTTGAGTTATAGGCATATTGGTGCCCATGCAGTACTTTGTCACTGGAATATCCTCTTGGGGGCGAGGAGGGGAGATTATACAAGTGGGGTCTTCTTGGTGCTGAACTGGCTCCAAGGTGACATAGAATCGTAGAACTATAGAGCACAGGAGGAAGCCCACCATGTCTGCATCAGCTCTTAGAAAAGAGCTATCCAATACAATCCCACTTCCCAGCTTTCTCCCCATAGGCCTGCAAACTTATCCTCCACAAATAATTATCTAAACATGTTTGGCAATGGAATGTCGGAGTTGAGCCAGCCCTCTGTGGTGGTCTTAGTAGTCTGCTTCCTGAGCCAGATGAGTCCGCAGTGTTCCAGGGCACTGCTGATGACAGCATAGCCAGCCAGCCTGGCTCATCAGAGGACATGAAAGCGCAGATCAGTCACTGGGGGCAGGGACTCATCCCACTCAGCTCCTGCCAACCCTGGAAGCCAAAGCCCTAATGGTCCTGGAGTCCCCAAGCCTTGGCTCTTGCCAATCTGTGCCTAATACTTTCCAGAATTAGGTAAGCAGGATGCATCCTACCAGGGAGAGAGTGTGCATTTCATTCCAACAATCTATCTCTGGAATTTCCATGCGTAGATGGATGCATGGAAATCTCAGTTTGGTTTGGATCCTTTTAAGATTAGTGATGGGTTTCTGTATGTAACAAACACCCAGCTGACCAAAACAAACAGACAAACCAAAAAAACGTTGTCGCTGCAGCCGGTAAGTGCACAGGAGGTATTTTGTCACTGCCACGGATAAGTACACATTCGATGATGGGTCAAAACTACCTTTTTCACAATTCATTATGTCTGACTGATCGCCGCATGTGAACAAGCATTGGAGTCACATTGAATTGGGGGAATGAAGTTCTTCTGCCCTGAGGGACAGATCAAGACTAAGTTTCCTGTGATTCAATGCAGCCGGACGGTAAGTGTGCATGCATCGATGGGTCAGGATGTCATTTCCCACGATACAATGCCGCCCAGTAAGTACAGAAGCAATGGAGGATAGGATAGTGGCATTACGAGTTAGGAGATGATAAATACGGCTAGTGCAAATATATCTAAGTGGCTTTGATAGGAAGCTGAAAGGGACTCAGGTGCATATATGATTTAGGAGATGATGCGATTCATAAAGATAAAATTGTATTCTGTTTAATTTGAAAACACTTACTTACCTTCTGTCCCCTTGCTCCTAATTTGGAGACATTGTGTAACTAATTAAATAGAAATTGTTTCGAAAATATCCATTTTAGGGATGAGAGCCACTTTGAAATGATTTCCATTTAATTAGTTACAAAATATCTCTGTAACTGCAACCTTACTGAATGCCATTGAAGATTTAAATGGTCATGTCTAGAAGATAATTACAATGTTTCTTGATGAGTACAATATCACCAAAGCAGAAATAATGTTTTGGTGATATTTTGAAAGTAAACAGACCTCACTAAAAGGAGATTTCTAGATAACTAAACTTCTTTGCAGCACATGAAGGATTAAATCTGGCTTCAATAGAACAGTTCAATGACTAACAGCTCTTTTAATGATAATCAAGACAGACCTGTGTCTTCCCCAAATTATGAGGTGCTAAAATTGCAGATTGGATCAATCATTTCAGTGAAATGCATCCAAAAATGGAGAGAATCACACCAAATATTGCAGAGCCGATTCTAATTAGTTATTGCAGAGCTTTCAATATAAATTCTGCAATGAAAATGCACTTTGTTTGCCACAAGATATTCAAAGTTAAATCTTAGCCACTCTTTGCAATACCTTTCTGCCAATCCCGAGACTGATTACTCCCATTCACAAATAGAATGTTACAATAACAACAATTCAGTTCATCAAACTAATGCTTCCAAGGAAAAAGCCTTTCAGCAACATAACAGGATACTTTGAAGTTCAAGCGAATCACACAGACATCAAATCCATGTTCAGATCATTCTATATATCATGCAAGGCTAAACTCACTCATAGGTGCTTACATTATACACGTTCATGCTGCGTTTACAATAGTTACGAAATTAGAATATACAATTCTGGCAATTATATTCAGACATATTTTCTGATAGATATTAAATCATATCTAGAAATTGATATGTATTGATTTTCTAGGGTCTAATGCTATGAATGTTATGAAATGAAAGGGGCACATTACATGAGTGAATAGCTGTATAATTCTAGTATTAAAGTATGATGTCAATTGAAAATTATTAAAAAAATAATGGGGTCAATCTGCTCCGTTTGCTAAATGTAGCCAATTTAATGGCAAATCTCTTCTGCTCCATTTACTAAGTTATAAACAATGGAACTTTTAAATTAAAAGTAAAATGATAAAGGGGTACCATTTACAACAGTTAATTATGAGCATATAATGACTCATTTGAGAGCTGAGTAACCCAATACGCATCAACAAATGTTCCACATTTAGAAAACAGAACAGGAAAACTCTCAAATCATTAAAACAATGATATAAAAAAAAAGTGGAGATGAAGTATAAAAAAGCAACAAAAAGGAAAAAAATCACAAATGAATTTCTCAGTGAATTTTTTCTCTTCCGTTTTTTTTTTACCTTCCCACTCCAGTTCATTACCATGCCCGGAGTATTCAAGAGAATCCGCCTCGTCGGGGGTTTCAAGGTCATCTACATTGATGTCTAGGTCATCTGGAGTATCAAGGTTGTCGTCAGACAGGATTGAGCCCTCGCTCTGATCCAGTGAAAGGTTGATTTCAGGAGCAGCAAGCTTTTTCCTTCCAGCCTGGATTCCATTGAGGTTCAGGGAATTAGGTGGTGCTGATCAAAAACAATGAAAAATGTCAAAATTATTAAATTACAATCCATTACACATTTTCTTGTCTTGTGAGATTAAACAGAGTTGATCCGCACTTGAAAGAAGATTGGTTAAAATTTTGAAAGAACTGAATCATTAGAAGGCTCAAATGGGGCAAATGCACAATTTTTCTTGGTCAGGTCTTTGTATTCATGGCTTATTGTTCCAGCTCTGCTGATGCGTGGCACCATTGGCACCAAAAACATTGCCCTATCTTTCTCTTTCAGATACTGGTTAATACACAATGCCACTTCCAGCATTTACTGTGTTTATTTAATCTGGATTTATAATACCTCAGTCACTGTGACAACACAGCATTGATGAAAAAAAGTCAGTTTTTTGGTTATGCAAATCCTTTTATAGTTTTTGTCATTAAAATTTGTGCCAAATTCACAAGCACTGATCAATAACTGTGAAACAGGAATATTGGTGTTAAATCCATACACTTTATCCATGACTCCTTTCTTGAATGATGGAATTATACAACATAGAGGAGGCCATTCAGCCCAGTGTGTCTGTGCCAGCTCTTTGAAATCAATCCCACTCTCTCTACCCCCATAGCCTTGCAAACTTGTCCTCCCTTTGTGGAAAAAAATGAAATGTTTTTTCCATTTTATCCATTTCTTAGTTATGAGGATTGTCCACATCAATGAGGGTATTGATACCTGAACAAAAACCCTACTGAATTCAAATTTTTAATTCTTGTTAAAAGCATCTTATTTTAAGAACATAAGAAACGCTCGACAAAAAAAAATCAAAGCCCATCTAGTTTGCCTTCCGCTTCCTGACGGTCCATGCACATATGTCCTGAACTACATAGGGACTGTATCAAATAATGTTATTTGTCAAGTTCTCTCCAAACACTTAACAGGTAATTTCTTTCAAGTGTAGTGACTTTTCTTTTAGAGTCCCTAAGGTCATACAAACAGCTATGAGGTGAATCCTCAAGAGCAAGCCTCTGAGTGGTTTGTGGATAACCCTAGTGTTAATTTTGAGGTGTACTGTTGGTACTGCCTCTATATCAATTTCTGGTGGGTTTTGGTTGCACCTCTGAGTTCCTGTTTGTGTGACTGCCAACACACATCCCCTTCTGAAGTGTTTGGTCTGTGAAGGATGTGTCACATAAATGTCAGCCAGCCACTGGGAGTAAACCTGGCAGTAAAATGAGAACAGATTTTGAAGAATTTCTCTCCTCTGATTCAAAATGTGAAGAACACAAGAACTTTCTTTGACCAAAATTGAGCCCATTCATTTGGGCTATCTCAGTCTCATCCACTTCCTTCTCCGACCTTTTCCCTCATTTCTCTAAGCCACCATCCATCCCCCATCCCTTGCAATGTCTGCTCTACCTCCCCCAGCTCTCATTGCTTTTATGATGCTACTGATGTAAAGGCACTATATAAATGTAAATGTGTAATGTATTATAGTGTACCACATGTTCCTTTGACTCTACCAACCCAGGCACTGACTAACCAACTATTCTTTCTTCACCTCATGCTAGCTGACATAGTTAACCTCTGCGTAGTCTTAGGATCTGTCATTGTCCCTTCAAACCTATTATCATTACCTCATTGACTCCTCTACCTTCTCCAAATATCAACCTCTCAATTGTTTCCTTTCTTGCTTAGCTCCTGGAAAGTGTCACTGCCACCCATTGATGTGCTCACATCACTCTCTAATTGAGACCCTGCAGCCACACCACAGGACTGAGAACAGCTTCATCAAAGGTCATCTTTTTCAGTGGTTCCAGCACAGGGTTGGAGTTTGAGAGACATTACACCCCAATTCCTGTCCCTCCCTCCCTCTCTCTCTCTCTCTCTCTCACACGCTCACACTCTCTCTCACACGCTCACACACACGCTCACACTCTCACACACACTCTATTTCTCACACGCAACCTGTCACGTACACACACACACACGCACACCATCTCTCACGCTCTCGTCCTCTCTTTCTCACCCACTTGCTCTCATTGTGGAGTCCTGTAGCTCAGTGGTTAGAGCACTCGCTTTGCAAGCGAGAGACCCGAGTTCAATTCCAGGCAGAGGGCGAAACCTTGGGCAAGTTTCCTTACTCCACACAGAGCCTAATAATAATCCTCCAAAACCAAAAACAATAATAAATTGGTCATTTTCAATCTACGACTGTTTGTGGGACATTGCTGTGCGCAATTGGCTGCCGTGTTCACCCACAAATATACAGTCAATTCACTTTACAGTGTGTTCTGTGAAGCGCTTTGGGACGTCCTCCCGACGTGAAAAGCGCTATATCAAATGCAAGGATTATTATTATATTATTATTATAGGGTTATAGGCCAAATAGCTTCTTTCTAAGATGTAAATTTCTATGGTTTTTCCTTTTTTCTGTGATCAGGTTTGTTCGAGATTTCCTTCTAAGGCTGCATTGGCATAATCTGCTTTTTTTTAATACACACACTCATGAAAATACGGATGACATTTTACTGTGATCCAAAGGCAGTCAGCCATATGGTAAAGTCCTGACATGCTACCGGCAGACTATTTAGCCCATCGTGCCTGTGCCAGCTCTTTGAAAGAGCTATCCAACTAGTCCCACTCCCCCGCTCTTACCACACAGCGCTACAATTTTTTCCTTTTTAAGTACTTATCTAATTCCCTTTCCCTACAATCAAATCCGCTTCGACCACCCTTTCAGGAGGTGCATTCCATACTGTAATAACTCTCTGGGTAAAAAAATTTCTCCTCGTCTCCCCGTTGGTTCTGGAGAGATGGACTTCAAGTATTAGAATAAGGGATATCTAAAGTTTTCACAGATTAGCAACAGTGAAGCTGTGAAATTTTCCAATATACTCCAAAATAAATTTCAGGTCCAGTAGAGCCACATCTTAATGTCTGCAAATCAAGTGCTTCCAATCAAATCAGGCCCTCGATTGTTCAGTCACTCAATACCATCACAGCATTTGATAGCTTCTTCCCCACTCATAAGGACATCACCATTCTAGATTTATAGGGATATAGAAGTGCTCATTGTAGAGTGCGGGAGGTTATAAATGTGGTTTAAAACTCAAGGAAGAAGTAGATTCAGAACAAAGAACTATGAGGACCTCTAAATGTCCCAAATTCCCAAAGCAATGAAAGGCTCAACAATATTTTTGACATATCTTGTTGTTCGTTCAAGGCAACGCAGAACATTAGCACAATTCATGAGAATCATAAACTGAGCTTACTTTATCTGTGCAGTTAGAGAGCGTAGCCAAGGGGATTTGCATTATATTTTGTTCTACCACTATATTTCAATGGAGGCACAAGAACACATCTAAAGGTCAAATTGCCTAGTGCAAGATATGCTTTCACATGCATGGTGATCAAGGAGCTTTAATCTTTTTTCACATACAATGCAATTTTATGCATTCATTGTTGATTCTCAATATTAATAAAACATTAAAAATACAGTCCATTCTTGTCTAATTATATGCAGTGCACGATAATGCAAATCCATGCATAAGTTTCAATAAGGTCATTGATTAGGCAGGCACGTGTAAAATGTAGCAGAATTGTTTATATGACAAATTATGTATATGCATGTTTTGCTCTTTGTGCACACCACTTCTTTCCCTCTCCTTTTCCCGAGGTTAGTGATAACCACTCATTGCATTTAACTGCAATTTTGGTTGAGGCAATATTTATCACTGGTCATAACTTTACATGCAACATTGGTGTATACTCTCTCCCGTACCCCCCATCACTTCATGTTTTCCTTAAGCCTATGATAAAAAATACAGAGTCACAGATGCAGACTACCTCACCAGCTAATGAGAACAACATTTTACGTCTTACATAAAATGTACCTAACAAGGGATGCAATTCAAGCTAAGCTGGGATCACTTCTGTGCTAGCTTGTTAATGCGTTTCATTTCTAATTCACACTTTCAACCCAGCAAAACGATGAGTCAGAATCAATGCAACACTAATCCCCAGTGAATAATTTAAGTTACTTGTGGTATAAATTAAGAATATTCTTCCTACCAGGTCTGCTGTCTTCAGCTAAGGGACTTAGCACTCCCTCATCAAAGGGAATGTCCATTCCGACATCCTCTGGTTTTGATCTGCAAAACATAAACATACCAACAATGAAATTATTGAGAAAGCTCATTTGTATATCCATGTCGCCTGCCTGCATATGTATCAGACTGGATTAGTAGCTGACATTCCATTGGGGATGTGCTGCAATATTGGAGTTACTGTCCTTCAGACGTTAAACCTCAGCCTCATGTGTAGGTTCAGGTGGACGTTATAGATCCCTCGGCACTATTTGAAAAGGAAGGAGTTTCTCCCAGTGTCCTGGCCAACAAATCCCCCAAATAAAATTGGTCACTTACTTCGTAGCTGTTTGTGGGATATTGCTATGCGCAATTTAGTTGCAGCATTTATCCATAAAACATACGTCACTACACTTTACAGTATATCTTGTGAAGTGCTTTGAGATATCCTGCCGACATGAAAGAAACTATACCAAAAGTAAAGATTTATTTTATTTATTTATCCAGTGAAGAGCTTTGAAATGTGAAAATACAATGTGAAAAGGCTCTGGAAAAATGCAAGGATTATTATTATTATGTGCAAATATACTTAGTCAAATTTCTTAAAATGCAGTCTTTATAGATGATTTCTAGTTTTTGTGTCGTCTGATCAACTGCATGTAACAAGGCTCTAAAATCATATCCTTCTTTGATGGAGAAATGTTAATTATGCTAATAATTTCCCTTTTGAGCAGAACGTATATAGGTCATTTAAACTTACAGCTCAGTTTGTTAAATTAAAATCATGGTATTCCACATTTAACAGTACAGTGCATTGAATTTGCCATTAAAAGGTAATATTCAAAGCTGATCACAACAAGAGCATTTGGGAGCCAATTTTCTTCTCAAGTGCACCAGATAAATGCAAAGCCAGGCTTGCACAAGGGACAATAATCTTAAGCCTCTAGTTCGGATACATCTAAGATGGTTTGAAGATGAATTCTACTAAGATTTGAAACCATTGTTCCAGCGTTAATTTCTCTATCCTATTAAGCAGTTTATATACCTCTTACGTTCCCTCTGAGACATCTATTTTCGTGGGTGAAGATCCCTATTTATCTAGTCATTCTTAATAGCTCATTCCTCTAACCCTTGGGATCAATCCCATTGCTCTCCTCTTCACTGTTTTTAAGTGCTGGACAGCTCCTTATGTCTCAGGAACCTGAACTGTTCGTAGTACTGACGGAATGGGTTGATCATATCATGGTACAATTTGAGAACGAATTTGGGACAACTGAAATTTCTCATGTTCTTAGGATTATGACCACTGACATTGTCTTAAATTAAGACTGGAATTCAGAACTAATTTGGAAGACAACTTTCTCCAGTGTCTTTAAAACCGACTTCACCTACGTTACATATCAAAGAAGCAATAAGGCACACCTATAACAAAGCTTCTGATAGAGGCTATCAGGCAGCCATGCATTTTGTATTTTTTTAGTGGATATAAATCTCTCCAGTGTTCCTTCGTCTCCCAGGGGCACACAATGACTAGGGTGTAGAAGGAAACCATGCTAGGCATAAAAAAACAAATTACATTTCTATAGTGTCTTTCACATTGGGAGGATTCCTAAAGTGCTGAGCTCTAAAACAAGACGGAAAGAACTCTTTCTTAAATCTCTCCTCACTTCCTACTTGTATGCTTTCAGGAGTTAGGGGATTTGGAAGAGGGGAAATCAAACCTGTATCCCACACCAGCCCAGGGCACTATACACTGTTACAACAGCACTTGCCACGTTGATGCTGGTTTTATGGTTGCTGGAACTTTTATAGGTTCTGTGTATCATGCTCACATTTAACAATAAAGTTCAAAAACTACAATAACAGCTCTCCTGGTGGTGTAACAGGTAAAGTTACCGTTGAACCATTGAACAGGTAAAGTTACCATTAAGCATTGAACCATACATACCCAGAAGCTTGCAGGCTCAAACTGCATTCTGTGCTGAATTAGCTGACCTTTTGGAACGGGGGCTACAAATGGCTACAGCACCTCTGGGTCTATACTTCCCCCACTCCCGATTTTGTACATAGATGTTGGGTGATAACAAGACTGGGCTCATCTGGTATAACTTTTGTGGTTGAAAAGTCCACTTATGGCGACTACGTGAAGGGAAAAGATTTTAGGAAAGGAGGAGGGGAAGGCACAGAAAGGAGAATTAAGATATCTGGAATAATTGTATCTTGACACAGAAAGAAAATAAATATTTTTTGAACACCTTAATGACATAAAGCATCTCAATAAGCCCTTACAGTAAAGCATCGTAAGTGATTTTGCAGGCAAACATGGCACCCATTTGTAACAACAAGATCCCACAAACAACAAGCAATGAGGTGAATAACCAATTTATCTGGAGGATTGTTGCGCAGGACTCCAAGGGAAAATCTTTTTTCTTTTTAGATAGTTTATCAGATAGCAGAAAGGTAACAAGCTGCATACTCAGAAGAAATTTATTCTGAAGAATTATTCTGAAGAATAATTAAATTGAACAATACAAAAACAATGAATTGGACAAATATAGTGATCTCCCAGGGCAGAGGGTCATCTGAACTGGTCTGGAAACAATATACAATTATCAAAAGGTGCTGTTCATATAGGAAAGTGTTAACCACAGTTGCAAAACAAACTACTTCACGGACTAATCTTGTAATGGCTTCATTTTATAACTTGATAAAACAGAGCTGTGCCACAAGTCCCTTAAACTGTAATGTAAGACTCACTTCCCATGGCAACCTCCACATACACAGTTAACTAAGGTTAAATCAAAGTCATTATGTTTTAAATTACCTGTTCCTTTTGATCAATAAGCCAGCCTTTCAAGGAGTGATACTGTGATTCAGATCACAGGAAACAAAAACAAACAACTCATGTCACCAAAGCAGACATACTTTTGTTTCTCTCTCTCTCTCTCTCCTTTACCCCCTCCTATCTTTCCCGGAAGCAATGAGTATATTCCCATTGGCCAATCGACTATGAGCATTAAATGAGTAAGAGAAAGATACAGGCTTCAGCCTTAGACAAAGGACCACAATAAGAGATTTGCAGCTGGTGCTCGACCAGCTGTGAGCACCAACTGAGAACTTGTTTCTACTGCCATGTTCACATGAACTGATCTGACACATTTCGCTCGAATAGTTTGATGACAATAAATCACCTGACAAGAAAACATTGCCTATTTAGTGCAACTAATCTCTTGTTTTACATTAAATATATTCAAGTAGACTTGACTTTAAAATGTCATCCATACGGATTAGAATCTCTCTCTCTCCCCTGCTTTCATAGCATCAATAACATGTCAGATACTGCAAGAATAGTTTGTTAAGCATTCTAATATTACAATTTCCTCTCGTTGAACTGCTGAGAGTTACCATGTTGAACCATTGCAGTCCAGCACGTCAAATTATAAACAAGGCAAGTCACAAGTATCTTAGGAAAGCATCACTGGCAAATAATATTATCAAGGCATTTGTTTGCTGGGGTAAGATTGTGTGCATGTGCGAGTGTGGATTGTGCATGTGTTTGTGTATGCAATGGCTGATTGTGGGAGGAGGAGGGTGGTTGATAGATTTCAATTGTTAAACATTGCTATATTTAAAAATAAAATAAATATTTAATAGCAGATCCAGTTCCATCAGCCAGGAATAAACACCAAGTGCTGTATCCCGTCCTGCCTGGAAATCAGTGAGAGATGAGTGTGGATGCCTCCAGATTTGTTTATTCAAATTTCAGCTTATACAAAAAAACATTCACACAACAAGCTTTGTCAAAACCGCCTTACCTTTTAAAGACTTGGGCAGTATTTTTGCTAATATGATCAAGGATGGTATGCTTTGTTTAGCCTCAGCATCTCTATGTGCAGCAGTTCATTATGAACACAGATCTTCCACCATTTTACACTGCTGAACACGTGACTGATGACACATTAAATAAGGATGATCACCTGCTCCCAGTTGGCCCTCCAACTAGAAAGCACAGCAGCACTGACTGTTACAATGAATTGGATGAATTTATTAAGGGCTGTTAACTGCTTCAGGGGTTTATACTGTAAGACTCCCGCTTTGAGACGTCTAGAAGATGTGAAAAGCGCCATATCAAATGCAAGGATTTATTATTATAACATCTTTCAAGCCTAGTTTGTGAATCACAACAAAGAATTACCTTGTATGTAACACTGATAGATGGGCAAGGAGAACTGTGCAAATATTCCTGCTAATTTGCATGGGCACAACTGCAGCACACAGAACCAACTACTGTATTCCAAGCAGTCCAATCAACGTACAAGCTGACTCTTATATCCATTTCAATGTCCTGCAAAATTGCCTAACGGAGTACAATTTTCTCTTGACGTACTCGATGCTAATTTATTTAGATCAGCAGAAAGCTGCACATTTGTCACATTTTCAGGGACTGGAATAAGCATAACTACAAATGTCTCTACTGAAGTACAGCATTATTGTGAGTTCAAGCAGAGGGAAATGAATCTGTGCCAATAAGAAGATAAACATGATCCGACACCATATATTTTCCACCAAATTAAAAAGCCCAGCATGCTGTATTATGTTTCTTGCATTTTTGATACAATCATGCACAATATTGTCATTTAGAATCAAATCGAATTATAGTAGAACCTTGTTATAAGAGGCTGTTGGAGGTCACTAAATCCTACCATTCACAGCGATTGTGTGCAGAAAGATGGATGACTTCTCACACCACAAAAGTGGCTGTTTTCAAGTCTATCAGGAAATGATGTCAAGAGCGACCTGAAGATCTGGAAATCAGTCACTTTTTAATATGCAAGAAGCTGACCTGCGAAGAGGAAGTCAATTGGTCCACCTACTGAAGCCAACTACTGGTCCATAGACTCCTTTATAAGGAGTTGTCTTATAATGAGGTTCGACTGTATTATGATGAATAAGTTCAATTTAGTGTCAGCTTTTCATTTTGGAGTGGAAACCCAGATTGCTTTTCCCTTATCGAACCTATGGGCACTGAGAACAATTCTAAATTCAACTGATAGCCTAACTGAGGT